ACGGGACCCGGGTGTTTTTTTATTAGGTCCGACATCATACTTTACAAGCCCATCTACGTCACACTGATAACACAAGCTTGACTGCGCCATGGACTGACCTGCACCCTCCTTTTTGTGTCGTTACACGTCGTTTCTATGGACACCTAATTGAGCGAATTTTCTATGTCGACTACAAATATGTGAAGAGCTGGAAGTGGACCAATGATTTCATCGATCAACTCGACCAATCACTAGTAATATTAACTCGCGCGTCAGTGCCAACCGCTATGTACTGCATTAATGTGAAAGCAGAAACATGACTCACATGGCAGAAAGGAAAGATCTGTCGTGCAGGTGAGTCAGGCTATCAAATACAGGAAAACTACTGATCCTCACGCAAACCCGCAGATATTGAGGCTCCGGACAGGTGTTGCATTGGTGATTGAATAAACAAAAGAAGCCACATTTCTCAGCGTCAGCGCTGATGGGCGTGGCAGGGATTAATGATGCTACAGCAGCACCGACGGCGAGGACCGATGAAGGCAAGCCCCCTGTATATCTTTTAGATATCCTGGACTCGCCAACAGAACAGTTACTTTATGGTTGTTGGAGGCTTTTGAATATCCAGCGGTCCTCCGACTTTCCTACAAATGAATGTAGGATCGGAGGATGCAATGGGCGAGTGATTCTGAAGAACGAAAGGTGATCACTCATGCACAGTTGTACAAGGTCTATGACATAGCGATGCCAGCTTTCTGGAGTCAACTAGGATGATCAATGGGTTGTGTACCTTGATTTTGTCGTCAAAGAATAGGCGCCTTGTGCTATTATAATGTGTGAATTTTAGTCGATGGGATGGGCGAGTAGGTGTTTGATGGTGGTTCATGTTGCTGATCTCCAAGCTGTCTAATACAGTATATAATTCATGCTCCCTCCGATAAAACCACATCATCTACACTCTTTTTAATCAAATGTAATTGTTTTCGTGTATACAAGTTCGAACTAAAGATTAGCTAAGTCACATAAGGGGCAAAAAAGTTAAATAACATTAGCAATAATTTGCGAAAAAAACTTGTGATAATTATGAAAAAGTTAGAAGGCAGTAAAAGAGTTCTCATAATTATCACTAATCTTTGAGGTTCACTCTAGTCTCTTTTGCGCGGTAATGAAAAGACTAACATTTAAACTTGACTACTAGGATGTGAGATGCACTATTTGCAAGTTTAATGGTGGGTATTTGGGGAGAGATTACAGGCAAAGGTGCACAGCGCCTCCCAGCTCCAACAGGAGTTTGTTCTAGTGGGGAAACAAAAGGTGAGCTGTGAGGGTGGGTGGGCCACCTCGCTAGTGATGCGGAGGTTCAGTTCTGAACCACGGTTCGAACCGGACCTTTCATGGACTGGACCACAGTCCAGTTCAATGTATCAGAGTATAGGCTGAACTGGACCGATGGTCCAGTTCAGCGTTCAGCATTCCTTGAACACGTTGAACGCATCCGAATGCGTCCAAACCTTTTTGAACTGCTTCCATTTTAGGCTACTCACACATACAAGATGACATCACCCACACATGCAATACACTGAACATGACATGATTACTTGCGACTTTTTTGCTTGGAATCCAGTTCACAAGGACCATGCCACACTGGCAAGGTCCGTGAAGGTTTATTTGCCTACCACTAACCAAAACATCACAAAGGAAGCACCTGATAAGGTATGGAGACTTTGGTTAATTTGGTTTAGTGCTAATGTATTTGTTAACGGGTCGTTTTTTTTCTAGGGTAGCTACATGAATTGTTCGGCACTCATGAACTCGACAGAAGTTAAAATGGATCAAATTCAAGGTAAGCTCAACTCTCTTCAAGCTTTCCCCCTCACAACATGGCTGACCAATGTGGTCTGGGTGCAGATGGAACTCTCCTCGACGCCAGTCAAATCTGATGGTACAATGATCCCAATGATGATACTCCACTGCCTGTGCTTCCCGCTCAGGCACGTCGCTCAACTCGTATCCCACGTCCTGCACCCAAGCTTGTTGACCCCAACAATGCTGTCTTGCACAAATGCAAGGCTAGCAGGTCAGTGGTCACGAGTGAGGGCTCTGAGGAGGAAAGTGAAGGAGACCAGGATAACGGGGTAACTACAGATGCAGCTACTGACATGGATCATGAGACGACAACTGATCTTTAGTCTTGCCTTGCATTAATTTCACTTGGCCTTGCTTCACAGTAGTGTACCAGTAATCCTTACTACTAGCTATAGTACAATCAAGTATATTTACAATGTGTTCGATGTTTGAACGCTGAACCAGACGTGAACTGGACGCCATGAATGTGTTCATGGCATCCGGTTCAGCGTTTGCAAAATTTGTTGCTGAACTGGACCAAACTGGACTTCCGCAACACTATGCCTCGCTGTCTGTAAATGGTTGTCCTTTCGGGGCCAAGGTGTTTGGTGTTTCTAGCAAGGCACTAGAATTGTGCGAGAGTGCGATGAGAGGGAGAGGAGGGTGGGGAAAAGAAATTTCTAAGTCGACGAAGTGTACAGGGTGGACTATTTGTTGTGGTGAAGAAGCGAGGCTCCGCTTATGGTTCACTCGAAGACTTAGTTCTATTGCTTCTGGTTGTGCCTTGCTACATACATAGAATGACAACTACGTCCATTATGTCTATTTACATCTAAGTTAGCACGGGTGGTTTTTCCCTCACGCAGATGCAAAGAACTGTAAGTGGACCGTTTTGTTCCTGATGTGTGTCGATCAACCCTACACATCACTAGTAACTCGCACGTCAGTGTCAATGGCCATACTCCACCGATGCTAAAAGCAAAAATATGACTCACTATGCAAAAAAACAGAATAGTCTGTCATGCAGGTGAGTCATGTTATCAGGTCCAGGAAAATGCTAGTACTCACACAATAATTCCAAGTGCACTGTGGATTTTGGCATTGTCGGTCGTGAGTGCAACCCCTGACACAGTGATCAGTGCTTGCTGCATCACCAGTAGTAGGCATGGCAGAGATTGATAATGCTAAACTACTAATGACAGCAAGGACGATTCCAGAGGCGAAATGCATTGTTTGTGACTTGTGTGTATGGGATCAGGTAGGGAACTGCATGGGTAAACCCATGGGTGTGTGCAGTCAGACCCGTACTCATACCCGGAGATATACCCATACCCGTGGTGCGAGTATGGGTTTGCTTGCGGGTATCAGCCAAACGGACCCGGGGTATTACCCACAAGGGGTATACCCACGGGTCACTACAAAGAGCATTGTAATGAATTGTGACAACAAATGTAATACTAATCTACTTGGACTCTGTCCCAACCCTCATTCATTGCTTCCTCTTCGCCAATGCCCACTTCAACAACGTCTAATGGGATGCTTAGTGGTTCCCCCTTGTGCTCAAAGTGCGCTGAAAAATGCGACCAATGCACGATGGTTGGGCGATGACCAACCATCAGTAGTAAAGTTTATTTTACTGTCATATTCCTGGTGTGTTTTGAATATTCATTTTTTTTATTAATGATAAATACTTACCTGTAACATTGTAGCAACACACTGTTGAGTTCGCACAAATACTTATCGCACATCACGCGAAACAGTGGAGGCAGAAGGTATGTAATATTCCGGTCTCCCTGTCTTCATCAGTGACTGAAATGCACGGTCCTTGACAATATTGAATGGATGCAGGCTCTCAGACACCCAGCTCACTATTTCGGCCCTGAAGGCAGATGTTTCAGTCCAAGACTCAGATAAGACTTTGTTCGTACCGTGTTTCTGCACGTGTATGTTGATGGTGCGAGTATGTAACTTTCCCTTTACCCTTATGCTTGAATGACACAGTGATCGATCCATTTCGCAGGAAACTACCAACTATATTTTCGCGCACCTCGTTGGCATCCTTGGCCTCATCCGCAGCTTTCAACACTTCATCGCCCCAGCATGAATGCACATGCTTCCGCATGTTACCGGTGGAGCATGCATCACCTTTGTCAAGGTATTGTCGCACTTTGGTCTTGCAATTCCTGGCTTGGTACTTGAAGTTATGGGCATGGTGCCCATCAAGTTCGGTAATCTGTGGTGTTGGATTGAAGAATGCATAGACTGGTGAGTTCCAGTCCTTCATTAAGTGTGCTGTTTGGTACTCAATTAATGTAATGTTCACATCAAGGCTGCTGCACATACCAAGCTCATCTTCCGCAGTCTCGTCGGCTTCCACCTCAGCCTGTGATACATTGCTACCGGTCTCAGTTTTGTCTTCATTCATTGAGTTCTCTTCCTCCTCGGTGTGCACCAGGGCATGCCAACTCGAGACTGAGTCTGGACATGGAGACATGGACACTGTCCGTGAAGCTGTGACAGAGCTATTTTTTTCGACCAGCTCATCTTCGTCTGCAGACCATACACTGCCGGTGGGAGTATTACCAGCCTGCAGGTTATTTTTTGCCTTCTTAAGGTGTGTGTTTGTGCTATCTCCACCACCATCGTTTTTCTGCTTCTTTGATGACATTTTTAAACTCTTTTCTTCTAGAGCGGCTCTCACCTTTCCAGTCATTTTGATGACGTGTTTCGCTGTGGCTGCAAAGCTGAGCTGCATGATGGGCAGCACTAGTGGGTGACAAAGGTTTGCGGGTGGCGTGGTATGATTTTATATTTGTTTTTAGAGTTTGACAGTTGGCAGCTGTATAGTTTCGTATTTATGTAGTTGAATTTTACTAGCACATGTTTGGCATCCATTTGGCACCCATTGTGACTGATACCTGCAGCGTGGGTACGGGTAGGGGTAGGGGTATCATGACCTCAGACCCGTACCTGTACCCCAGTGGTACCCATACCCACGCAGTTTCCTAGGATCAGGTAATTCTGAAGGCAATAGTATGAAGATGGCTGGCTTTTATATTGTTCTCTGGAATTGTTGTTGCGTGGATGTGCCTCCAAATGATTCAGGATGCACCATCTACAATAAATGCCAGCATGTGGCCAGCAAGGTCTATGACCAAGTTCCTTTTGACCGTCGAAGGTCAAATAGACGTACATGATCATACTAGTACCAATTTTGTTCAAATTAAAGTCTCTACCTCAACCCAGTTTGACGTTTTATGAGATGGGAACATATTTGAGTTCAATACGAGCCCTTCTCCACCAACATGGGAGTCTCGTGGATGCCTTTGTATCAGTTGCTGGAATAAATACATATGTGGCACAGGGAGAGCTCTTGTTCTGCATGGTTGGTCTTCATGATGCTGATAGTATAAGTGTTCCTGAGATGTGATGTAGATATAACAGTGATACCCTTTTTGTCATGCTATATCAAGCTCTCTTGCAACAATCTGCAGACCCTGTATCGTCGCATTCATCAAGAGATATATATAGATGGACAGAGAAAGTAGCCCACCAGGTGCTTACTGCAGAGATGTGAGACTACAAATGGACCGATATCCAGAGGGTCGATATGTCTGATTTAATTCTCCCTTTGAGTTGAGGCTGAGCATCCCAGGTGGAAAAAGTCGATCTGTAATCTCATTGCCAAGAAGACTTCTTGTGGTACTGCAATGTGCATAAGAAATATCGACAAGAAACTACCAATTACATCATTGACAATGGCATCTGCTGAAAGCTTGGAGCTGTCTTTGAACATGATCCCATCTTTTTCGAAGTGACTGATTTCTTGGTGTTGCTTTATCTGGGCGTATATTGCAACAATCAGACCCAGCCATCAGACAATGAATACCAGTCCTACCTTGACTCTACCTTTGACGATTAGTTTACCACAACCAATGTCAAGCACTGTGTGGTATTTACAATGTCTAAATGTCTAAACAAAATCCTTCCAGCCCAAACCTGCTGTGGAGTTCCTTATTGAACATCTTCATGTGTTGTGTCCCACCTGAGATTTGCAGTTGCAGGAGAAGGGCCAGAGGCGTTGAATTATTGTGGAAATCTAGGTCTTCGATAGGGGTATCATCAGGGAAAGGCGACTTGAAGTGGGTTTTCTCTGCGGCAGCTGAAGATATAACACATGTAGTGCTTCCTTGAACCATTGTTACCTTTTCTTCTTTTTGAAATCTAGACTTTGAGATAGTTCAATTCGTACACGCACCACGAAATCTTGACATATGTCTGCACTAGCATTACCCTGACGCTCATGTGAGTGTGCACCTGAGTATGAGAAGTTGAAATAATACAAGGCTCCTTGAAATTCATCAATTCCATTCCAAGTAGGAATAGTATGTGGCGCTGTAGTACCACAGTGTATGGGACCCAGGTGTTTTTTTATTAGGTCTGACAACTATGTCACACTGATGTGCGGTGCCGCGGACTGACCTGCACCCTCCTTTTGGTGTCGTTACTATGGGCACCTAATTGAGCAAAAATTCTATGTCAACTCCAATATGGACCGATGATTTCATCGATCAACCACATATTAAAGTGAGATATTTCGGTATTATACGGGTCACCCGACCTACATAATATCCCATATAAGACGGGCCAGCGGACTATGGGCCGATGTTATGTATATCCCCGATGTTGACAGATGGGCCGGGAGGGATATTATTTCCGATGGAGACGGGTGGGCCCATCTATGCTGATATTATATATATCCTTGAAGATGTCGGGTGGGCCTATGTAATGGTTTATTGTATAGATGGGTGGGCCGACGTACAGGAAGTATTTTGTACACGGGTGGGCCGAGGGAGTGGTGGAATATGTATTATATAGACAGGTGGGCCGACATACTGGAATTATTTTGTAGATGGATGGGCCGAGGGAGTGGTGGAATATTCATTATATAGATGGGTGGGCCGATGGAGGGGGATGTTATATAGACGGGTGGGCCGAGGTAGTGAGATATCTGTCTGACATTCATGGATTACCGAGTCCCAGATGCCCAAAAACCGAATCCCATTGTGCAACATCCATTCCAGACACCCGAACACCCCAAGCTCGAGACTTGAAACTGGAAACTGGTGAAAATGTGTGAAATTTCTATTTCCTTACACCAAACACATGAACACCTGAACACCCAAAGCCTGAAGCTTAAAAGTCCAGTTATAAAATCACCGAGTGCCAAGTCCTGATAGACCCAAAGCCTGAGACCCAAAATCCAAAGCCCGGAACCCAAAAACATGTATGCAAAATGTCCATTTTTCATTCATTGCAGAAATCACCGAGTGTCAAGTGACAAAACACGAAACTCGAGACCCAGTACACAAATCACCAAGTACCGAGTACTGAGGGCCAAACCCCAAAGTCCGAAATTTGAAAACATGTATATAACATATCCATTTTTCAGTCATTGCACAAATCACCGAGTGTCGAGTGCCAAAACCCAAAACTTGAAACCTGGCATGCAACATGCCCATTTTTCATTTACATTAAACAAATCATCAAATGCCAAGTGCCGAGGCCCGAACCCCGAACCCCGAAACCCAAAAATATGTATACAACATATTCATATTTCCCTCACTGCACAAATCACCAGGTGTCGAGTACTGAAACCCGAAACTTGACACCTGGTACACAAATCACCAAGTGCCAAGTGCCGAGGCCCACGCCCCGATGTCCAAAGCCTGAAACCCAAAGCCTGAAACCCGAAAATATGTATACAACATATCAATATTTCACTCATTGCACAAATCACCGAGTGTCGAGTACTGAAACCCAAAACTTGACACCTGGTACACAAATCACCAAGTGCCGAGTGCTGAGTGCCGAAGCCTGATGTCCGAAGGCCGAAACCCAAAGCATGACACTCGAAAATATGTATATAACATATCCATATTTCCCTCACTGCACAAATCACTGAGTGTCGAGTGCCCAAACCCGAAACTCAAAGCACGGTACAAAAATCACCAAGTGCCAAGTGCCAAGGCCCGAACCCCAATGTCTGAAGCCCAAAACCCGAAAATATGGATATAGCATATCCATATTTTCCTCACTGCACCAATCACCAAGTGTCAAGTACTGAAACCCGAAACTCGACACCTGGTACACAAATCACCAAGTGCTGAGTGCTGAGTGCCGAGGCCCGATGTCCGAAGCCTGAAACCTGAAGCATGACACCCAAAAATATGTATATAACATATCCATATTTCCCTCATTGCACAAATCATGGAGTGTCAAGTACCGAAACCCAAAACTCGACACCTGGTACACAAATCACCAAGTGCTGAGTGCTGAGGCCTGAGCTCCGATGTCCAAGGCCCAAAACCTGACATCCGAAGCCCCAAACCCGAAGCCTGAAACCTGATAATATGTATGCAACATATCCATTTTTCCCTCATTGCACAACTCACTGAGTGTCGAGTACCAAAACCCAAAACTTGAGACCCGGTACACAAATCACCAAGTGCAGAGTGCCAAGTGCCAAGGCCCAAATCCCGATATCTGAAGCCCAAATCCCAAAGCCCAAAACCTGAAAACATGTATGCAATATTTCCATTTTTTACACATTGCACAAATCACTGAGTGTTGAGTGCCAAAACCCAAAACACGGTGTGCAATACGCAAAGATAATGAAACATGGAAGTTGTTGTCCGAGTCTAGGTAAGTGTATTGGTAGTCTTTTCTTGTCCATTGGTTATCATTTGACCAAGATATAAGCTAAAGAAATCTGAAACATTGGCGAGAATGAAAAATGAAAGTTTTAGTCCAAGTCAAGGTGAGTGTATTGGTAGTCTTTTCTTGTCAATTGGTTATTTCATTACTTGGTACTCGGTACTTAGAAATCAGTACTCAGTACTTGGTTCTGGTACTCAGTACCTGGTGTAATGATAGTTGCGGCACTGGGCTCAAAACCTGTGTTTTTGATACTCACATTAAACAGTATTTGTCCGACGCATCCCTGACATTCCGATCCTGATCCCGACGCCCGACCCCGGCCTGAAAGTTTCGCACCCAATGTTTTTGCATTGGACTCATCCTTCCTATGTCCTGTCTAGTTGTATCTATCCCCACTGGTGCATATTTACTCGTTTTCACATTATTGAATATTACAGACAGTGTTATTACATGTAAGCATAGACCATTGCACTTTTGACATTTTTCACGATTTTCAGTATCTTGCCCTTGCATCCATGATCCAACCTTTTAATATATAATGAGCATAGCTTATATTATTGCCTCTGATGACCAAGATCAGCTCACAATAGGCTGGAGTTTGTGAGCTAGTGTGCATACTTGCCATTTCTCCTGATAAGGGGCCCATACCTTCAAAACATTGAATCTTCATGATCAGAAACCTGGAGTACATTTAAAATATATTAAGTATCATAGACATAAATTTACAGACAAATCCACCAAGAATTGAGTACTGAGGAAGTGAAATAGATAAGAAATGGAGTGTGGGAAACTTCAAAGACCCAAAGCATCGAAAATGGTCAGGGAAGCAATAATAGGACTTTAATGCTGAGTCAACTCATGTTTTCACTATGTCCCTTCCACCCACCCCCTACCCTCAAGGGAGTAGGCAGTATGGGTTCCTTAGGTAGTTTACAATCTATCCTACATATTTTTAATGAAATCTTTGGCCTGAATCATCTATAAATGCGACTTTGTAAAAATATGTCTATTGTCACATTTCACACATATGCCTGTCATTACATCAATCCTTCATGTATCTTTCTAAACTATTAGGGCTATTATAATGGACATATATGGGTGTTATTCCAGGTCTCTGATCCCATCACAGGCTTGTCATGTTGGATATCTCAACATAATGTGCAAGTCTCGCTATTGATATTCATTCTTTTATCTTTATGCTCACTTACTGCACACATGTACAAATGCATGCCTCATCTTTACATCATTGCTAACATGCCAGACAAATATATAATCCTCATACCTGCATCATCCTACCTCAGTCTATTTGTTCTCAGACTGAGGTATGACTATACATTCATTATCATACTCGACACTGACTAACATTTAACATAGTCTTCAAATAATCTCCAATTGACAAGAATGACATGAGTATGAAAATCAGTGGTTCTGAGCCCAGCACCACAACCATCACTACACTGAGTACCAATACTTGGTAGGACCACCAATACACTCACATAGACTTGGACTACAACCTTCATTAAGAAAGTTAACCATAATAATAATTTTCATTTTCTCATTATCATTTTCCTATATTGACTAGCGAGTCCCGAGTCCCGACCCTTGGTAGTCAATACAATTCCCAAGTTATTTGAACCCTACATCAATGGATAATACATACAAATACAGAATTCATGTCCAGTTGTAGTCACGTGTACCAGGTGTTGAGTTTCGGGTTTCAGCACTTGACACTCAGGTGATTTGTGCAGTGAGGGAAATATGGATATGTTGTATACATATCTTTGGGTTTCAGCCTTTGGGTTTCAGCCTTTGGATGTCGGGCCTCGGCACTCAACACTCAGCACTTGGTGATTTGTGTACTGGGTCTCAAGTTTTGGGTTTCAATACTCGACACTTGGTGATTTGTGCAGTGAGGGAAATATGGATATGTTATATACATATTTTTGGGTGTCATGCTTTGGGTTTTGGGCTTCGGACGTTGGGGCTCAGGGCTCGGCACTCAGCACTTGGTGATTTGTGTACTGGGTCTCGAGTTTCGTGTTTTGTCACTTGACACTCGGTGTTACGACTTGGATGGTATCTGTTGGCGATGCTCAAACAGAGCGTGTGTCGTCAACGGTCGAGGATGTCCTTGGGCTAGCCCAAGGTTAGGGGTCTTACTTGGCGAGGCTTCGGCAAGTAAGATTTGACGCCTATGTCCAAATCGGGTAGCTTACGTCAAGCAGATGCTAGACGATGAGCTGTATCTGCCAAGGCTTATGACACCCGAAGGTTAATCGTAAGATTGTCGTTAATTAGAAGGACGGAAGTCCAACTAGTTAACAGGGGCTTTGCTCATCGACATCGTCGATGAGTAAAGATTGAGACTATAGGCTTATCCACGAAGAGCAGATAAGAAGATAGAATATAGACTGCTGGCTAGGCAGAAGAGATCACTCTGGTGAGAGTAGGAGGTCAAGAACCAAGTAGATTCAAGTTAGGGAATATAATACATGGTAGCGAGTTTATATAGAGGACAGGAGGCGTATTAGTGGGTGATAACTTGTACTACCAAGAGAGGCAAATGGTAAAGGGTATAACCATAAAAGGAAAGCACGTTCGCGTTGAGACACGGGCGAGGCAGAACGTGCTGGATAAGAAAGTGAGTCAAAGGTCGAAATAAGAAGTGAAACGCGCAGGGGCACGATCGTGCAGCTGCGGAGCTAAGTATAAGTCGCATGTGCAACTGCGTACCGAGTCAGAGATCAAGAAAGGGAAAAGGGCAAAGGGGATGCGTTGTGCATCATATCATAGGTTACCGTCCGGACGGTAAGGGAAAGGGGACTGTCCACAGGATCAGTCAGGTGGTGGAACGGAGCATGGGTATGCTTCGTCAGCGAAAGGATCTGGCAAGATGTACTGGCTCTGCTGAAGCGACAGATAGAGGGCGAAAGGGAATGCGAGGATGACAAGGATAATGAGGGTGAGGTCGGAGTAAGGGTATGATGCTAGGGCTGATACGAGAAGGATGAGGAGAAAAATGGTAGGGGCCCAAGCGTCTAGATGTTCTTGTAACACTCGGTGATTTCTGCAATGAATGAAAAATGGACATTTTGCATACATGTTTTTGGGTTCCGGGCTTTGGATTTTGGGTCTCAGGCTTTGGGTCTATCAGGACTTGGCACTCGGTGATTTTATAACTGGACTTTTAAGCTTCAGGCTTTGGGTGTTCAGGTGTTCATGTGTTTGGTGTAAGGAAATAGAAATTTCACACATTTTCACCAGTTTCCAGTTTCAAGTCTCGAGCTTGGGGTGTTCGGGTGTCTGGAATGGATGTTGCACAATGGGATTCGGTTTTTGGGCATCTGGGACTCGGTAATCCATGAATGTCAGACAGATATCTCACTACCTCGGCCCACCCGTCTATATAACATCCCCCTCCATCGGCCCACCCATCTATATAATGAATATTCCACCACTCCCTCGGCCCATCCATCTACAAAATAATTCCAGTATGTCGGCCCACCTGTCTATATAATACATATTCCACCACTCCCTCGGCCCACCCGTGTACAAAATACTTCCTGTACGTCGGCCCACCCATCTATACAATAAACCATTACATCGGCCCACCCGACATCTTCAAGGATATATATAATATCAGCATAGATGGGCCCACCCGTCTCCATCGGAAATAATATCCCTCCCGACCCATCTGTCAACATCGGGGATATACATAACATCGGCCCATAGTCCGCTGGCCCGTCTTATATGGGATATTATGTAGGTCGGGTGACCCGTATAATATGGAATTTGTCACTGAAGGGGCTTGATCAACTCGACCAATCACCAGTAATTTTAACTTGCACGTCAGTGCCAACTATGATGTGAAAGCAGAAACACAACTCATATGGCAGAAAGGAAAGATCTGCCATGCAGGTGAGTCAGGCTATCAAATCCAGGAAAAATACTGATACTCACGCAAACCCACAGATATTCAGACTCCAGACAAGTGTTACATTGCTGATCAACGAAACAAAAGAAGCCACATTTCTCAGTGTCAGTGCTAATGGGTGTGGCAGAGATTAATGATGCTAAAGCAGCACCAACAGGCAAGCACCATTGCAGAGAATAAACATCATTGTGAGTGAGGATGTGATATGGGATCAAATATGAAGGGGGTTAGTGGACATCCTTCTTCTATATGTTCAATAATGTTTCTCGTGGTTATGAGTATGCATTCTGATTTCAGGAGGAACTCGTCAATTGCTGATCCATGGGAATCCCTTGACAATGCCAGGTCCAAGCTCTGAAGGTGCCTGAAATCCTTCTTGCCAGTGTATAGTTGTGCCGCATTCAAACAGATGATATCTGCAATACCAGCAGATTATCAAGCAAGGTCTGTTGGAAATTTGGTGTGGAGCGATTGAAAATCCCTCCTGGGTCGCCAGGGAAATTCTGTTGATGAATTGAACTTTGGTAAGATTGTCCTCATTTATACATAGTACTGGCTTATCACATGGATTTGTACATGTGATTCATAACACTGATTTTAGCAAAAATCAAAGCAGAGGTATGCATTTTGCTGCTGTCTTGCCACGGTGTGGTGGGCCATTGTGTAACTTGCATTGATGATACAGTTGCATCCTTCTCCCAGCGGGCGTCTTCCAAGCGACATTGAACAGCTCAATACCTTCGAAGAAGAGGAGAAAGAGCCTACCTTACCTATCCGAAAAAGTATGGTTCAACTAGTACAAGGACAAATCCATCCTTTCTTTGCGCTAGCCCGAGATATCCACCCTATCTCACCAATAGTCCCCGAAAAGCCTCCTCTGTGCATGCACTGACTCTGATGCCCTGTGTCTCAATTCTTTTCAAGCAGCCAGTCCCACTCCTCAAGCTCGAGATCTGAAGAAAATGATCCCATCTTTCCGTTTTCCTTTCCTACTCGGGCCACTCCAAGACCAGAAACCCACCAACTCCGCACTCTATGGAGCTGCTCCATGATATCCTTGCTTATTGCTGAACCTCCATGTGCGATTGTAAGTCCCTTGTGGGCAGTGTCAAAATCAAAGTCGAAGTTAAGATTGGGATTAGTTCAAGGGTCAGACGAGTGAGTGATACCTTCTGTTCTGTTCTGTTTTCATTTTACTTTTGCTGAAGGTCTTCGATTCATTTTTCTCTCATAAACAACAATTCATAATTATTATATCTATCATCATGATCTCTTGCTCATATCCACAGTACCCTCCGACTTTGCATCTGTTTTTCTTTCTCGTCGACATGTCTTTCATTGCATGTCTTTCCAGTCCTCTGAGTCTCTCATACATTTCTTCAATCTCTGACATGTTTCTACACTCTCTATAGCATCCCCCCTTGTATCCTGGTTCATACTATGATGAAACTTACTTTTTTATTGCCAGGTTCTTACACATACAAGAAAATAATTCAGGCATTCATTCGAAGCTAATCATTCTTGATGACCCTAATAAATGAAAACATTTAGTATTTATAACTGTCAATCCGAAGCTCAAGTGCTCATTTCCTGATTGACTAAATATCACGCTAACTCAACCAATGATTTTCCTGACAGTGCATTGGTTGACTTTACAAATCACTTATAAATCGCGTGTTAGTGCCAATGGCCATACTGCAGCGATTTGAAAGCAGAAACACAACTCACTCAGGATGAACAGAAGAAGAAAAAGTTCTGCCATGCAGGTGAGTCATGTTATCAAATCATTGATCCTCACACAATACCCCTTATTGCATATATAGCAATACAAGTCATGGTTGCAATAAGCGGGACACAGAATAATAAATGCATCAGCGGGCATGGTGGAAATTGATGATGATAAAGAAGCAACGACAGCAAGGATAATTGCAGAGGAGAAACACATTGTTTGATTCTTGTGTGATGTGGGTGGGATCAGAAACTAATCATAGGAAGATGGCTGGCTTTTATGTGCTGAATATCATTCTTTGAAATTCATATTGTTATGCCAGCAGGATATCTTGCCAGCTGGTATGATTGCACTAAGTGCTAGAAATTGAGGTCACCAACCAGGATTCGCAGAAGAGTCCGTAGACAGTGTCATTATCAGTCTTCAGCAGAAGTGGCCAGCCAAGGTTGAAGAGGGCATGCGAGTCTCAGAGTGATTGAACTTGTGTCGTACTAATACTTAGTTAGCACACCACGACAAAACATAGATTGAAGTGTATTTCGTAAGTTGATGTAAATGATGGCAAAAACACTAAGACAGCGCACAAAGAAGAGACTAAGGCCCGAATGATCCTATACGACTTGTCTGATTTGACAGTGCCATGGGGAAAGCATGATCTTTGGTAGACTGAGGAATAAGAAAAGAATCTCACTTCTGAGTCAAAGGAGAGGGATGTAAACTCACTCAGTGAAGGATAATTGAGGAATGAAGTAGAACTCAGGAAGTTGCAACCAATGCCGGATTTACCCACCGCCAAAACAAAGTTTACCCTGTGGGAGAGGAATATCCACTATAGGTGGCACTGCATGACACATCGGGGTTATTGATATTTAGGAGTGGTTTATATGATGTACAAAATGCAAAGAAAATATTTGAAGTTTAAACTAACACAAAGATGGGTACATAACTTCAAATTTCGGCAGTGTTTTGTGCAAAATCTAAAATATGAAGCATCCACAACTATTTTCCCACCAATCATATGTCAATGAAAATTTGAAATATAATCGGATTTTCAGTGTCTGCTTAAATTTGAAGTTTAATTGTCACGTGAAATGTTGGACAAAACTTGAAGTTTAGTCTGTCACTACATGCTTGTCAATGTATTAAGTTTTGTCAAACAATTAGATGCCCCTGAAAATTTGAAGTTTATGCCAGCGACAAAATGTGATGAGTAAACTTTAAGTTTCGTTCACAGACAAAATGAATCGTCCGCTCATTGCCCATCTGTTGCCCGCCTGGGTCAGGTTCAGATTGCAAAGGATGAGTCGCAGTGGGCTCTAGGCGGAAATAGATTATCGCTGAGGGATGATGGAGTGGCGGCTGAAACAAAGCAGTACACTGAATTAGGTTGCGTCAGCGTGATGAACTTAGATGATACTGGAGAAGTGGGATGAATGAAAATGTTGACTAATCTATAATTGTAGAGCCAGGACAGGTATACAAAATTTCGACTATCACAACAGGGTACTAAGATCAATCCTGTTTGATAGCAATCAGACACTGAGGATGATTTTAGGAATAACTGTACTTACACAACATAGAGTTAGTATGACAACATGATCACTCGAAATCTGCCATCAAGCAAAGTGACTAATGACCCAAGATACCTTGACAGTTTCTAAAGAACTGCTAAAGCTTGATGAATACAATTTTGCAGGAAAATTGGGATAGACAGCAAAAGGGTCAATAGTGTGGTCATGACAATACAGTGAGAGCTGTCTGTGTACAGCAAATACCAGTTCACCTGTGGGCATAGCATAGATATGTTGGATGCTGCCAGGGACAGGAGATGACAACCGGTCACCCTGAGGGTAAAAAAGGACTTGACTATTCCCAACATGCGTAGAAGCTCTGCTGTAAATAATACCATCAAATCTTAGTCTTGCATGCAATATCGCCTTCCGTCGTTTGATAAGCATGTATAAGTCTTTGGGTATGGCAGCAGGTAAAGCAGAGGAGGGAACCTGAACACTGTCGTCCAAAGGATCTTCAGCAAGTTCTTTGTCGAGGCTTGTAGTGCTCTTGGGAGCATACATTCTGTCAAACAGGACTTTGCACTCTTGAATAGCCGGTGGACAATCTGGTCAACTGAGCCAATAGAGAAGCTTTGCAG